TGAACATATCCAGAAACCAGTCAATGTCTGTCTCTAGGTTTATGCTTCTTCTTGTGTTGAAATCTTTCACTGTTTATACCATATAGTACCTTCCGCTCTCTGTGTAAGAACCACATCGAGTCACCCAGGCTGTGTTTGTTACAGAATGTGAATGTATACAATATGCCAAGAAAACGACCTAGGGTCACAACTAGAAAGCATATTAACAATTGCTCAAGGGTTCCAGAAAAAAAAATCCACTGTTCCTTAACTCATTCTATACCAAGTAACGCAACGAACGTTCATTGTTAACCTCATTATATTGTGGCTTTCTCAGTTCACCATGCCCTAAACAATAAATACTTTAACCTAGTATATGCTAATTTTCTTTTTAAACAATTTTTTTTTTACACACATAGTTACAATTTTGAGTGATTTAAATTAGGGAATTCATTACTTAAATTAAAAGCTATATACTGAGTTAAAGAACTGTGAGAAAGATAGATGAGGAGAGCTTGGCATATGAAATAACCATATCTGACATAAGAATAGAAGTTGAAGCGGTAACTGTGGTGTTGCTATGGGTGGAAAAGAATCTCAGCACACATGTTGTTATACCATCGGATTCGCAAAGCATGCTCAGGAAGATGGAGTCAGATTTGCTTCGAATGGAATAGATTCCATGAGTCCAAATATCGTGGTGAGAGTCACACGGATAAATTGTCCGGGCTCTTCAGGTGTGTTTGGGAATGAGGAGCCAGACAGACTGGATGAAATCGCTCACTTTTGGGTGAACTGCAACTGCACAAGCCAGAGGTGATTTCAAACCTGGGGGACAGGGTAACAGGTGAGATGGAAGATACTGAAAATGCGTACATAAAAAGAATGATACAGCGAGGAGTGGCTGTTGGCTCTGTGCACCACTCTATACCCAGAGGGAAGGCAAGACGAGTAGTTAACCAGATGACAGCGGGTAGTATCAGTATGGAAGCTCATCGCTGGCTGTTGAGGAGGGAGACGGATCTAATATTCGATTGTCCTTAAATCGGTGATGTCTGTAGCATATCTCTTCCGTATTCAGTCTCCCTCATTCAGATTCGACACTAGCTCTGTTGTCTAGGGGGCGAGATCACAGTACAGACGAGTCGTACTTCTCTTCCGATCAACTATCACACGTCTCCGAATGACAGTCGACGAAGGTTGACAGCAATTCACTGGTTTATTATTAATACAACACAAGCAGCACGAATCAACATTAAAGCCGAACACTTACGCCATTTAGGCAGGATCCTCTTGCTCACACGCTCAGTCTACAGCCACGCTTAAGACCATGGACACTGGCATGTACACGACTGGCATAACCAACAGGCCACAGAACACAACTGTTGTCATCAACTGAATTCAACACAGCGTCACTCCCTGCCATTCAGGACTAACGTTTATTCGAGTTCCATTCAGATTCACTTTCATACCTATAACTCTGGATCCAGTTTCCAACCTTTCACTCTGGGGTCCGGTCACATAATTACCCGTTATTCTTACCCCCGTTGTCTCGTGTTGTCCAAGCAAACGCACCATATATTTTCTTCCTTTCCCACTGTAACCTCGTGCTTTGCAACCTGGGGACTTCCCTAATTCTAGTAACCAATCAGATCCCTTATTCTGTTCCTATAGTTAGCACCTTTACAATGTCGATTTTTGATAGCGGGACGAAAAAAGAAGGAAGGAGAAACAGAAGAGAAAAAAAAAAAGGGGGGGGGGGTAAAAAGGAGAACATTATGATTAGGACAAAATGTGATAGTTCCCCGCTAAACAACAAAAACAGGAAAGTAAAGAAAAGACATGGGTTCTTCTGCGCAGAGAATCTAGAATATTTCACTGAGACCCTAACTATGAATGTCTGTACAGTGAGTTACATGACGACAACCTTACTACATGGCTACACAAACATAGACAGCCTCGGACTACAGATCCTAAATTAAGCCAAGCAAATGAATTATGATCACATTAAACAGCTGTTTATTTTACTCAACATAACATCAGCGTGGTCCATGAATAACATTAACAACAACTTAAGTGCTCGACCAGAGTCTAAAACATGAATCATCTCCAGCTAAAAAGAAAATATGATAATGACACCATACGCTCAGCGAGATTATCTCAACCATTGGCAAAACCCGAAACATATTTAACATGTGCGTTGAGCTTCAATGTGCCAACAAACCAATAATTGTGACCTACCATCAAACTATCCCCTAACAAAAATGCACAATGGAAATCAAATCTAACATTACCTAGCCAATTGAACGTATCGTGATCACGAGCCAATCTAGCGTCGCTCAGCTGGTCCTATCTGACACATCTTTGCGTTGAGACCAAGTGCAGTCAACAACGTCAAACGGTGCCTGACCATAGCCAGCCGGAGCGACCGCCAAATAGAATGAGACCGATAATCTTGATCTTGATGTTCGAAAAAAAAACTAAAAACTTCGTGCCTCTTTCAACCAGCTCCTAGATTGAGCATCGGTTATATCGAGGGCGGTGTTTTTTGTGTCTGGAATTCGTTTTTCCAGTTATCAACGTTTCTGTTGCGGCGATCACATTATGCCTGGGTTTTGCTGCTTCTGTCAGAGTGAGGGAAGGGATCTCGGTCTGCCCTAAAAAGGGCAGACCATAGCCTGGGATGGCCTGGATCGGGTGAGGTAGGAGTGGCTTTGGCGGCGAACATCGTATCGTCTGGTTGTGGGCTGTGAGGTTTATCCAGGCTGGTGGGAGGGGTTGTTTAGCTGTCATGGCGGCTTGTGCGGTTTTCATTAGTTGCTTCATGTTGGCTTTGTATTTGCTACTTCACGTGGGCGTCGTTTCCGTTTGAGAGGGCTGCTATCTTCGTTTTGTTGTTCCTTATACTTTCGAGTTAAAGATGCCGGGTGGCCTCTTTGAGTTGTTTCACCTCCTTGTGTACTGCTGAGAAGTCGTCTTTCAGGCATTCCTTGAGGATGAACAGGTCTTGTGTGTATTTCTTCTCTAGATCTCCGGGTTTGTCGTGGATCTGCCTTTTTCTGTCTTTTTCTTTCTTCGCGTTTTCTCTGGCGTCTATTACTTTGTTGGTGGCTTAAAGTGCTGTGCTCAGTTTAGTCAATTCTTCATTTGCCTTGGCCAGCTTTGCTTTTGTTTCTATCGAGTCTTTCTTGGCGTCGGCTACCTCAGCTAGAAGGATTGTATGGTTTCTTTGGATCTCTTTCGCGGATTCGACATCTCCTACTTTAATCCTCTTGAGTTCGATGAGCATCGCCATCAATTCTGTCTTAAATGCCATCATCTCGGCATTTTCTCTCTCCAGTCTTCTTTGGGTTTCTAGTGAGGACTGTAGGATACTTCTTAGATCGGTCATCTTGTCTCTATCCTGGATCCTTAGTGCTCTGATCTTTGCGTTTTCATCACGGAGAGTTTTAATTTCTTCCCTCAAAAGCGTTACCTCCTTGTTGTTTGCGGGTGGTGCGGCTGTCGAGATAGGCGCCTGGAATCTTCGTCTTGGCTCTTGTTTGTGAGTGGTCCTGGTGATGGTAGTCGGCCCAGCTCTCTTGATCCCTTTAAGGTACGGGCAGCTCTGGTACCTGGCGCTGTGCCTCCCTGAGCAGTTGGAGAACTTCCTACTTGCATTAGGTTTCCTGAAGTCTGGATCCACTTTAGCCAGAGGGCAGTCCTTAAAGTCATGTGGGCCGGCACAGTAACGACAAATTGGGCTGCTCCGGCAGGTTGCGGCTGTGTGCCACGCCTTCTTAAAGCGTGAACACTGCAGAATCTCTGTGCTGTGGGTTCCCAGTCGCTGATGCTGCTGCCTGTGGTGGCTTCCTTCGCCACGACTGGGGCGGCTTCTGGGTACACTGGTGCCTCGATAGGGCCTACATCCAGGGCTGGCGGCGTCTGGTTGAGTGAGGCTGGCGTCTCTTTCAGATCGTCGACTGGTTCTGGCATCGTCGGCTCCGTCAGGGCTGGTGCGAGGACAGGTGCTTCCTCCTTGTTGGCTGAGGTCGCCCTGGTGTCCCGGCGCTGGACAGGATTCTTTTTTCCACGGGCCATGATTTAGTGTGGCTGTGGCTGGCAAAAAAGCGGTACTTCTCAGGCGGCTATCGAAAGCTCGATCCCTGCAGAGCCTGGCAAGGCTCGTTCAGTGAACTGAAAAGTACACCGAGCGTGCTTTTCTCTGCAGTTCACGAGACAATCGTTTCACAAAGGCTGGTATGACTGGCTCCTCAACAATGATGTGCTCCCGGGCTGCTAATAACCCAAACGAAGACGAAACCGATAGCTTAGTCGAGCCAAACTCAGCCGAAAATCAAGCGAGTATTGACCAGTATCTAGCTATCGGTAATCAGGCTACGAATGGGTAGTTAGCGAGCGAACGAGAGACACACGTGGCTGATTGGGCGGTTTGAGCGAGTGAGAGCGAGAGCTGTGTGCGACTGGGCTGTCTGCGCTGGAATCCAAGTTGTGTGTGATTAGACCGATAATCCGTCAGTCAGCTGTTTAAATACCCAGTGGCCAGACTTTTCCATATTTTTCTTTCTAAAGCTAATAGCTGTCTTTGTCATTTTTAAACCAGACTAAATCAAGACAAGATCTTCAAGCTGCTAAACTGTAATAATATAAATACATATCTGTAAAGACAAATTCTTTGTATGGATAAGGGAGTCCGCATATGCAGCATGTTTTGGAAGGCCAGAGTTTAGTTTAGGGGTGATGGGGGGGGGGGGGGGGGATGGGAGGGGGCTGAACTGCCAGGTTCTGGACCTATGACTCTGATTTGTTCGATTACCACATTTCGTATAACACATTTCTCCGAATACCCATTGTAAAGCGATGCGTGACTGCAGCTTTTTTTTTTTTTAACATATCAATAGTCACAACTTCAATCAAATTAGGAAATCAAATATTCTTCAGGTTAGGATTTCACCCAAGGAAACAATTTTCAGATGACTAGCCAGAGGTGCAACAAAACCTAAGGAGGATATCCCACGAGATCACTGCCAGTCCAAACTCCCACATCTGGTGGCTGGTCGACCATCTCCAAGTTTATTGTGCAGGACCTGGAGTCTGCTCTGAAATTCAGAGATCTCCACATACGTTCCCTGTTCAAGAAAAGAAAGTGGACACATTAGGAAAACTAATGATATATCAGTTCTGACAGCTTGAAGTGTCTGTTTCTATTTTTATTGCAACTGTCTCTTATGATAATATAATCTCTACGTTAAAATGCCAATATCTTATCTGTATGTGTCTCTAAATATATCGTGTCGTAACCCACTCTGGAAAGCAAGATCAACTCGAATTATTAAAGTTGTGACAGTAATACTTTGTTCTATCAATGTCAGACTTGGACACTGACTAAAGGACATGAGAGACAGCTAACCATGTGAGAAATGAGATGATTGAGAAAGGCCGTTAACAAACCTAGAAGATCTGAGAAACAAAAAAATTACAAGAACTGTTGGAACAGCGCCTACAATTAAATTCCTTAACAAAAAGAAGTGAAATAGTTTAGTCATTTAATGAGACTAAATCCAATGATGCCAGCGACGAAACGTACAACTTGAAAATAGAAACACCAAGATGTAGGGGACGACCAAGAAGAATATGGCTGGAAGGATTACCTGATACACTGAGTTTCAATAACATCCCAGGTTACAGGGCATCTGAACGTGCCCTAGCTTGGAAATCAATTAATATGAGACGCCTAGCGACACAAAGCAGAATATTGACACAAGAAAGAAGATAGTCCTGACGTCACTGTGGCTGCGCACTGATTGTAGTTCGTTTACATGTTCGAGTACAGTCGATGTAGAGAGGTAAACCACAACACAGCGCACCAACCGCCCCCTTTCAGAATAGTAATAATAAAAAGAAGGAAAAGATGAAGAAGAAGAAGAAGAAGATGATGATGACGATGATAATGATGTGGATGAAAGAACAGAAAAAGAAGGCGATGCAGATGCAGAAGAAGAAGAAGAAGAAGAAGAAGAAGAAGAAGAAGAAGAAGAAGAAGAAGAAGAAGAAGAAGAAGAAGAAGAAGAAGAAGAAGAACAAAAAGGAGAAGGAGGAGGAGAAGAAGAAGAAGAAGAAGAAGAAGAAGAAGAAGAAGAAGAAGAAGAAGAAGAAGAAGAAGAAGAAGAAGAAGAAGAAGAAGAAGAAGAAGAAGAAGAAGAAGAAGAAGAAGAAGAAGAAGAAGAAGAAGAAGAAGAAGAAGAAGAAGAAGAAGAAGAAGAAGAAGAAGAAGAAAAAGAAGAAGAAGAAGAAGAAGAAGAAGAAGAAAGAAGAAAAAGAAGAAGAAGAAGAAGAAGAAGAAGAAGAAGAAGAAAGAAGAAGAAGAAGAAGAAGAAGAAGAAGAAGAAGAAGAAGAAGAAGAAGAAGAAGAAGAAGAAGAAGAAGAAGAAGAAGAAGAAGAAGAAGAAGAAGAAGAAGAAGAAGAAGAAGAAGAAGCAACAGCAGCATCAGCAGCAGCAGCAGAAGAAGAAAAAGAAGAAGAAGACAAAGGAGATGCAGATGCAGAAGAAGAGTAGTAGACAAATAATAATAATAATAAAAAGAAGAAAAGAAAAAGAAGAAGAAAAAGAAAAAGACGATGAAGAAGCAGCAGCAAAAGAATAGAAGAAGAAGAAGAAGAAGAAGAAGAAGAAGAAGAAGAAGAAGAAGAAGAAGAAGAAGAAGAAGAAGAAGAAGAAGAAGAAGAAGAAGAAGAAGAAGAAGAAGAAGAAGAAGAAGAAAAACAAGACGAAGAAGAAGAAGAAGAAGAAGAAGAAGAAGAAGAAGAAGAAGAAGAAGAAGAAGAAGAAGAAGAAGAAGAAGAAGAAGAAGAAGAAGAAGAAGAAGAAGAAGAAGAAGAAGAAGAAAGAAGAAGAAGAAGAAGAAGAAGAAGAAGAAGAAGAAGAAGAAGAAGAAGAAGAAGAAGAAGCGCCAAAAAGCAGAAGAAGAAAAAGAAGAAGCAGCAGCATCAGCAGCAGAAGACAAAAAAAAAAGAAAAAAAGATGAAGAAAAAGAAGACATTGACAGAAACCTTCCATCTGCAGCGTTCAAACTCCCACTCACCTGTAGGTGCCTGGTTCCCTTCTGGTTAGAGTATGAGGCTCGTCCGTGTAGAACTCTTCTGTTGTTGAAGCTAATTAAATCACCAGCAACCATACGTATCTTGTACTGGAGACAGGGAGACGAAAGGTAACACTAACAATGTAAGTAAAATAACATTACATTAACTAGGAATTTCTTCTTTAAGGTTATGGTACTCACTATACATTTTTCAAACAGGTGCCGGTACTTACTACAAGTGTCTGTTACAGTGGCACTGTCAAGAATAATGTCTAAACAAGGTAAAGTTACTTCCAAGGAGAAACGCCGTGGTTTAGCTGCATTCAAAATAATTTTCTTGACAACCACTTTGACCTAGTCTCAAACAGGTACCGGGTACAGTCCGGCGACGTAAAGGCAGCCGGCGTCATGTTAATCTTATCACCCACCGAGTGCCCATTGATCAAGCCCTAGAATGTCCAATATGACTCAAGACGGGGACAAGCGTTCTGCTGTGAGTTACAGCAGAGTTATTGTTAATTACGCCCCTTTGCGGGATGTTGCAGAACCCTCTTCTTCTTCTCTTCCACCTTTTACCTCATCGAAGTATCGAAGTGTCGGGGAGGAGGAGGGGGGAGGGGGAGATGTAATGTTCGTTGATGAGCTCTGTCAAGAGCACTAATAAGACTGATGTTCATTTCTGTAAGGCTGTTCTTAATGCCCCCACTCCATATTTTCCGAGGTCTTCCACTCGCTCTATACCCGTTGTAACGTTTTAGTGTGGTTCGCTGTGGCAGATAGTACGTGAGCATTCTTGTTAGGTGTCCAAACCACTTCATTTGTTGTTCTTTGATGACCTGTAAGACTGGCTTTATTCCTAACAGTAGTGTATGAATGAACTTGAGGCCACAAACGGGCAAATCGATGTCTCTTTATCCTTAGTAAAAGATGGCGGCCATATGCGACTGAAGATGTGGAGAAAGTTACCAGTCGGGATGTATGTCAACAGCTGGGAGGCAGTGATCATTCATTCATTCAGTAGCATGTCCCTCGCGGAACCTCGCTGCCATAACAACCCTCCGGAAAACCTTCCTATCCTGAGCAAGATGTCCTGCGTCTGATACACCCATCTGGAGATCATCTGCCACATCCTGCACCCATCTTCTCCTTGGCCTTCCTCTACCTCTCTTCCCAGGCATATACCCCTCCATTATTGTTCTCTCTAGACTTCCATGACGTTTCAAGTGACCAAAATATTTCAATTTTCTTTGTTTTATTGTCTTTACTAGCCAACCCTCTTCAATATTCAGCTCTTGAAGTATGGATGCATTTGTTCTTTTCTTTACCCAAGATATTCTTAGAACCTGTCTATAACATTTATATTCAAAGGCATTTATGCGCTGTTCCGCTTGTTTAGTAAGTGTCCAGGTCTCACAGGCGTATGTTGCAATGGGAAAGATGCATGCTCTTAAAAATCTGACCTTTGTAGTTCTATCTGTACAATTCCATAATTTATTATGGAATGATCACAGGCCCGTAATCCTGTCTATTAAAAAAAGTAGAGAAGTTATTAAGGAAAAGAAACCTCCCAGCTGGAACTACAAGAAGGCTAACTGGGGCCTTTTCACTTCCCAGTTGGACGACACGTTGAAGAGAGTCTTCTTCAGAAGATTGGAAATAAATGCCAAACTGAAGATCCTCAACACAACTATTCTAAATGCAGCCAGGGGAAACATACCACGAGGCAGCAGGAAAAATTTTAAACCTTACTGGTCGCCTGAACCGGACACTCTGCATTCCAAACTTAGTTACAAGAGGGAAAATATGGAGAAGGATCCGACAGATAAAAATGTAATACTTCATAACAGAGCAAAAGCAGCCTTCGTCAGAGAGAGAAATAATCAGATGAGGGAAAGCTGGCACAAAAAGACGGCGTCATTTAACCTCGAGAAGGACACTTCACGTCTGTGGAATCTCACAAAAAGCCTGAATGGAGACAAGACAGAAAAAGCCAGAGTTGTACTCCAAACAGACGATGGAACTGTTACTGGCAAGGTAGCAGCAGATGTGCTACCTGGAACACACCAGAAGGAAACTGAGGTTCATATTCCCATGCAAAGAATAAAAGAAGTACGAAACCAGACCAAGACTCTTCTAGCAGACTTTAGCACAAAAACAACCGCGGCCTGCATGTCAGAAAGGTTTACTATGCAAGAGCTGGAAGTTGGAATTGGAGAGTTGAAAATGAAGAAAGCCACAGGAGCTGACGGCATTACAAACGAATTTCTCTCTCATCTTGGACCTGCTGCCAAGAAGTTTCTTCTCTGCATTTACAACCAAAGCTGGTAAAAAGGTGTAGTACCGTCAGCCTGGAAGGAAGCCCTCATCCAGCCTATCCTTAAAAAGGGTGGAGACAGAAGAGACCCAAAAGCTACAGACCCATCAGCCTTCTTAGTTGTGTAGGAACATTGATGGAGAAATTAGTAAATAAAAGACTAATGTGATTCTTGGAGACAAACGCTTTAATCACCACCACACAGACAGGATACAGACAGCACAGAAATACAGAGGACCAGTTGACATATCTGGCACAGGAATAGAGAATGCCTTTCAGGGAAAAAAGAAAGTTCTTGCTGTCTTCGTTGACCTCTCTCGTGCTTTTGATACAGTTTGAAAAGAAGGCCTACAACTAAAACTGCTACAGGCAGGAGTTGTGCACAACATGTACAAGTGGATCAAAGACTTTCTTTTCCCACGCAGCGCCAGATTCAGAATTGATGGACACATCGGCAAAACTAGGAGAAGGAGTTTCCCAGGTTAGTGCGATAGCGCCAACTCTGTTCCTGGTTTACATAAATGATATCACAGCAACCTGCCACCAGCACGTTTCTAATACCCTACATGCCGGTGACTTTGCAGTTTGGACAGCCTCCGAATACACTACCACAGCCTCATATCTGTTACAAAAAACTGTGGAAAATGTAGAAGCCTGGACCGAAAAGTGGGGTCTAAAGCTAAATAATTCAAAAAGCACAGCATCACTTTTCTCTCTCTCTCAAAAAAGAAAAAATCGAAATAAGGATAAAAAACCAGCTCATTCCACAGACTGACACACCTACCTTTCTGGGCGTTACACTTGATTCGCTACTAACTCGGAAGTCACATGTAGAAGCAGTACAGGGGAAAGCATTCAAGAAGCTTACAGTGATGAAAAAATTAGCAGGTACCACATGGGGCGCTAACTCCAGAATTTTAAAACAAGTATATACTGGAGCAGTCAGGCCAGTTATGGAATATGCCTCCACTGCATGGGCTGCAGCAGCCAAGACAACAATGGGAAAACTGGACAAGGTTCAGAATATGGGATTAAGTATTGTTCTCGGAGCCATGAAAACCACCCCCATCAGCGAGATAGAGAGAATAGCAGATACTGAACCACTCGAACTGGGAAGACAATACAAAACTCTTTTACAGTATGAGAAAAAAAAAGACTTCAAAGTCACCTACTGCATTTTAAATTTCAAGAGAGAACAAAAAACAGACTGAAGCGTCAGCGCCCCAACCACCTTGCTAGAGAACTGAACAGACAGCACCAAGATCTGCTTGAAAGAGATGTTGCACTGTGCGAAAAACTTAGACCAGAACCATGGACAAGCAGGCCAGAGAAGGCAAATGTAGTCCTAAAGGTACCAGGGATCACTTCAAAAGATGCCCAGATGGAGACACAACAGAGAACCATGGCTCTTGCTATGCTTGATGAGAAGTATCCAAACACCACCTGGACTCAGGTTTTCACCGACGGCTCTGCTACAGATGCAGTTAGAAGGGGGAGTTGTGGAATATACATTAAACCCCCTAGCAGTAGAGCAGAAACTCTGTCTCTACCAGCAGGTGACATCTGCACTAACTTCAGAGCTGAGGCAACTGCCCTTCTTTCTGCAGTCCAACATCTCATCTCTGAAGAATACAGAGGGCACAACATTTTTATACTTAGTGACTCATTGTTTGTTCTCCAAGCACTATCAAGCAAAAAACAAGACAAACTAATTGCAGATCTAAGGACCAACATTGGCTTACTCTCCAAGGAAGCAGAACTAGTCTTGCAGTGGATACCAGCCCACTGTGGTATTCAAGGAAATGAGAGAGCAGATGAGTTGGCAAAAGCTGGGAGTAATCTTCCACAACTTCATCCACCACACTGCTACAAGGAAACCAAAACAGCACTAAAGCAGTCTTTTAAGCGGGCGTGGAGAAAGCAGAATGGAGATTACAGACCAGAGAGTGACAGCATAAACAAACTCAACAGGGAAGAACATTTATCAATTTTTAGACTTCGGACAGGACACTGTGGTCTTCGAGCACACCTGTACAGGATAGGCATAAAAGAATCTGCTGCCTGTGATTGTGGAGCAGAAAGACAGACCCCTGAGCACATACTGCAGTATTGCCCTAACCTCTCCCAGCAAAGACTGTGGATCTGGCCCAAGGGAGCCACATTGCAAGACAAGCTATGGGGGACCGGTGGCGACCTTAAAAGCACAATCCTATTTGTGACCCAGACGGGACTCAATGTTTAGCATGACTGATGTCAAACGCAGAAGAAGAAGAAATTTATCCTTAGTAAATATCGATCAGGCGGTTGGTGACAGCACGAGTGATTGATTTTAGGGGAAGGTATATGAAACCAATACTTTGTCTCTCCCGGGGTGTCGGTATTTTCTTAGGGAGTAGGCAAATATTTCTTTAGTGCAGGGCCAGCTTTATGACAAAGGGGCAGATGATTCATCCCCCTCAGACAAAAATATGAGAAATAATAAGACCAAAACGCCCTATAAAGTACAAACATCTGGCTATATTCCTGTAATAACCATACCTTCCTAATCCTACCGACCAATCAGAATTACCTACTGAAACCCAGCTGATCAATCAGAACCTTCGAATATTATACATTCAGGGTACCCATTACACCCCTTCCCACCATAAAAGAACCTTGTCCTCTGCAACCTGAAAAAATCACTAATCACTATTGTCTGAGGGGGATTAATCATCTGCCCCTTTGTCATAAAGCTGGCCCTGCACTAAAGAAATATTTGCCTTCTGCCTAAGAAAATACCGACACCTTGGGTGAGACAAAGTATTGATTTTATATACCTTCCCCTAAAACAAATCACTCGTGCTGTCACCAACCGCCCGATCGATATTTACTAAGGATAAAGACGCTGGCGGTTGCAACCGCCGGAAAAAAACCAATCACATATGGCCGCCATCTTTTACTAAGGATAAAGATGCATCGATTTGCCCGTTTGCAGCCTCAAGTTGATTCATACACTACTCCTAGCATTCGTTTTATTTCATGATTTCGTATTCTGTTGAAAGTATAGTGTTGGCCAGAAAATAGTTCTGATAAGATTCACTTTAGTACTCCGAGATATCTGCTTGTGTGTCAACAGGGAAGATAGTCGCCCCATTACTTGATTAGCTTTGGCGCATCCGGAGCTAATTTCTCTGTCCAGTTTTCAGACGGATGTGAAAATTGCTCCCAAATACTTAAATTCCTCTGTTTTTCTCAGGGTGTTGTTTTTTAATTTAATTTCTTAATTGTCTTTATGTCTTCCTATCATCATTGTCTCTGTCTTCGTAATGTTTATTTTCATATTATATTCACCAACCCCAGCATTGTTTAGCTGTTGTGGTTTTTCTAGGCAATTTTTCATCCATTAGTATGCCAATGCTTATTGTACGGTCGGCTCTGGGTACCACGGTCGAAACCAACGCAAGACAAACCGTCCGCTGCTGGGATCGAATCCGGCACCGCGACATTACGAAGCGCGTTCGCAACGCCTACGACGGTAGCCTACCACCAGAAAGAAAAAAATAAAGCCGTGACCGTTACAATACTCATCTCAACGTCTGTGGCTCTAGGGTTATAAACTGTTTCGTAACTTTGACATGCCGGGTTAGATTTCGTTGCTTGTGATGTTGTAGCAGAATACTTTGCGTTAATGGTGACTCTGTTTCTTCTTGTTTTTCTCAATGCATTCCTGATACATCTCATCTCACACATTATCAGTTTATGTTTATGTATGGAATCTATTACTGTTAAATAAAACTAAAATGACAATGAAAAAAATCATGCAAATAAAGGACCCTGTTTTTCGAACTAAACTAAACGACACGGCAGATTGACGTTTTTATCTTATCAAAAAAAAAAAATGTAATTTGAGCTGTAATTTAAGATCATGGAAAGCAGCAAAGTCTTATTGAGCTATAGTTATAGAATTCAATGTGTCAAGCAGAATTTCAATAATAAATCCTCGTAACGGCAAAAACCATTGGAAAAAGGCCCGGTTGTTTTGAAGGAAATGGCGATTGTGAGTGCTTGACGCGGAAAGGAAAGGCGTTGAAGAAACTGGTAGCTCAAAGGTTTGACACAAAACGAACTCAAATCAAGCGTTCTTCGATATCTTATTCTTTACTATGGAATACTCGAAACAATGTTTGTTTATAAAATTATTGCGAGAGTTGTCACTTACTATTGACTTGTAGGAGTTGATCATCGTGTAGAGATGTTTGTAGGCTTTGTAGAACGGCTCCACATCATCCTAGAGAAATAGACACGAAATAGTTTTTGTTTGTGTATACATGTGCATGTGTGTCTTTTTATGTGTGTGTGTGTTTGTTTATTTTTATTTTGTGTATGTTTGTATGCGTTTTGTGTGTATTTTGTGTGTTTATGGGCACGCGTGTATTTGGGGTTGCACATGTGTGCATGTGTGTCTGTGTTTGCGAAAGTTTGTAAGTGTATGTGTCAAACATTTATAGATCGGGTGGGGGGGTTGCCCCAGCCCCTCTCTCCCAAATTTGCTAAGAGTGATCTCAAGGTGACCTAAACAAAGAGTAAAGAAAAGGTCCCGTACATATACATACAGCCGGACATTTACACCAGTGACTCTTTCAACGAATAAAATAAAAAGAATAATAAACCTCTGTTTAAAAATAAAAAGTCACACATAATGGCAATTAGAAAACTAAGAATAAGAAAAGCTTCTGCGAAACGAAACATGAAGAAAAGACAAGGAAATGGAGGGAAAATGGAAAAAAAAAAAAAAAAAAAAGAAAACAACAACAGAACTAGACAATTTACAAAGAATATATTACGGCCTACTGAATACTGATCCCTGCATGGCTGAGAACACCTACACTTTGAAAAAGGTGACTTTTGAAGAGCGACCCCAGTTTGATCCCTAGGGCAATGTTTTATGTTAGTGACAGAGATTCTGATTTCACTCTGGTGGTCAGAACTTGGTAATCTTGGTAATCTTAGTTTCAGCTTCATTGCAAACGGGTCACCCCATAGTTGCTCCACTCCTGCGCCAACGAAAAACACACAGAATGTTCGTCGCAGTCCCTTGTGGAAAGATTGACAGACTGCTATCTCAGCATATGCACTAGCATACACACGCATTAAAAGCATACGGTAGCCATCATAAGTAATAACACACACAGTTTGACAACAGAAATGCAGTTCATCATCGACGGTAGCAGAAGTCGCCAACAGATCAGCAGTTGCACACGCGATCAATATTAATCACATAAGGGCACCACCGCAGCTCACAGGGTCGCTCCATGCACTCAACTCAGTAGCTGGCGCGACGAAACTGTATCCTTTCAGTCTACAAATGGATCAAAAATGCAACGGCCACCGTCTAGCAGAAGCAAAAAAAATTTGCCTCGACGCGAAACAGTAACAGTGCCTGTCAAAACTATTTATTATTGAGGACACTAAAAACTCTCTGTCTGAATAAACTCTCCTTTTCTCGTATATGTCAGCCCCTTCATCTTGTCTTCACGCATTTCCTCTCTTATCCGCTTTTTACGTGTCTCTACTTTCTGTTATTCAGAATACCATTCCATGTAACCCTTTCAGTGTCTGTATATTTTCCATAGCCCCTCTCCGTTCTTCTCTTTTGCACTTCGCTATGCAAACACACGCTCACATAGTTACAATTGACAGGGACATGTATGTTACTTACTGTGTGGACCTGTAGGGGTCCAACAAGCAGTGGATGCCAGAAAACAGACACAATCTGCAGGAGGATAGTACAAATTTTTCACTTTAAATAGTTGAGCATTTTGCTAAGTGTGAAACAAACCTTTGATTTCACTAATAAAAAGAAACAAGGTAATAATATACTCCACACACACACACAAACACACACCCACACCCACCCACCCACCCACACCCACACACCCACCCACACACTCACGCACGCACGCACGCACGCACACACACACACACACACACACACACACACCATTCATCAAACCCATTCATAAAAAAAAGGTTTTATTTAAGACGCATCACATAATTATTGTTAAAAAAAAAAAATGACAAATATAATCTAGCGCAGTACAATTTAATCGACAGACGAAGTAGAGATTATTCTCTTTACATAATTCAACAACAAATATGTATTTCGACAAATTACAGAAAAAAAAATGTTTAGCAAACTGATAAAAACAAGGAACAAGCAAAAACTATCTTAAACTTATATATATATATATATATATATATATATATATATATATATACATGGATTGATTGATTGATTGACAGACAGTTATTGTGTTTGTGTAAACATACATATATATTTGAAAAAGATAATTAGATAGACAGGCAAAAGGACCGACAGAGATAAAAACAATCAGGCACATACCTCACTGTGGTGATTGAGCGAAATGATCGGACGTTGTATTCGCAGATGCACCGGATATTCCCTAGGAGAGAGGGAAAGTTTTGTTGTTGACATGTGCATTAAAACATAATCACCATGATGTCTGGGTGAAATACTTGGGATGTGATGTCTGGGTGAAATACTTGGGATGTGATGTCTGGGTGAAATACTTGGGATGTGATGTCTAGGTGAAATACTTGGGATGTGATGTCTGGGTGAAATACTTGGAATGTGATGTCTGGGTGAAATACTTGGGATGTGATGTCTGGGTGAAATACTTGGGATGTGATGTCTGGGTGAAATACTTGGGATGTGATGTCTGGGTGAAATACTTGGGATGTAATGCCTGGGTGAAATATTTGGGATGTGATGTCTGGGTGAAATACTTGGGATGTGATGTCTGGGTTAAAATACTTGGGATGTGATGTCTGGGTGAAATACTTGGGATGTGATGTCTGGGTGAAATACTTGGGATGTAATGCCTGGGTGAAATACTTGGGATGTGATGTCTGGGTGAAATACTTGGGATGTGATGTCTGGGTTAAAATACTTGGGATGTGATGTCTGTCTGGATGAAATACTTGGTGTGGTCTGTCTGGATGAAATACTTGGTGTGGTCTGTCTGGGTGAAATACTTGGTGTGGTCTGTCTGGATGAAATACTTGGTGTGGTCTGTCTGGATGAAATACTTGGTGTGGTCTGTCTGGATGAAATACTTGGTGTGGTCTGTCAGGATGAAATACTTGGTGTGGTCTGTCTGGATAAAATACTTGGTGTGGTCTGTCTGGATGAAATACTTGGTGTGGTCTGTCTGGATGAAATACTTGGCGTGGTCTGTCTGGATGAAATACTTGGTGTGGTCTGTCTGGATGAAATACTTGGTGTGGTCTGTCTGGATGAAATACTTGGTGTGGTCTGTCTGGATGAAATACTTGGTGTGGTCTGTCTGGATGAAATACTTGGTGTGGTCTGTCTGGATGAAATACTTGGTGTGGTCTGTCTGGATGAAATACTTGGGATTGGATGTCTAAGTGAAATATTTCTGATGAAATATCTGGGTAAAATACTTGGCTTGGGATGTTTGGTCAAAATACTTGGGAGATACTGTTGAATTTGACATGGGGTGGAGACAGGTCGAATGTGAAATTTAACAAAGATTCGTGAAATTTAATCTGTAGCACACACATTTGGTATATTTCAGGGAAAATATTAGTGATATGGCATCTACCATTAACACGGGAGGGGGGGGGGGGCGGGCGAAGGGGGTGGGTGTATATCATATTAGTCAAATGAATAGATTCTGGAGTCTATGAGAATTGTGGGAAATATGTAGGCTACGAAAAATGTGTAAGCGAAGTTGGTTAAACCTGACTTTCGCGGCGGCCGGGTGACGAACTCCTTGTGGTCCGGGTTCACTCCCGGGGGTAGGCAGAAAAGCCACATTTCTCCCAGATTAACGGTACCTATAATGGAATCAATGCCGAAGGGTTGCGATATCCATAGTACCGAGCCAAAGGGTTTACAACTCATGGTTTCTGGATACGTAAAAAAAAAAAAAAAAAAGAAAAGGGGAAAAAAAAAAAAAAACTCACACCAATGTAGTCATGTAGGAGAAATACATAGGATTTGACATATATGAGACACGTACGATATGGCTTATATGAGCCATATGTATGATTTTACAATTGGGGGACATACGTATTATATGACATATAGGAGACATACGTATTATATGAAAAATAGGAGACATACATATTATATGACATATAGGAGACATACGTATTATATGACATATAGGAGACATACATATTATATGACATATAGGAGACATACATATTATATGACATATAAGAGACATACATATTATATGACATATAGGAGACATACGTATTATATGACATATAGGAGACATACGTATTATATGACATATAAGAGACATACATATTATATGACAAATAGGAGACATACATATTATATGACATATAGGAGACATACATATTATATGACATATAGGAGACATACGTATTATATGACATATAGGAGACATACGTATTATATGACATATAGGAGACATACATATTATATGACATATAAGAGACATACATATTATATGACATATAGGAGACATACGTATTATATGACATATAGGAGACATACATATTATATGACATATAGGAAACATACATATTATATGACATATAGGAGACATACATATTATATGACATATAGGAGACATACGTATTATATGACATATAGGAGACATACATATTATATGACATATAGGAGACATACATATTATATGACATATAGGAGACATACACATTATATGACATATAGGAGACATACGTATTATATGACATATAGGAGACATACGTATTATATGACATATAGGAGACATACATATTATATGACATATAGGAGACATACACATTATTTGACATATAGGAGACATACGTATTATATGACATAAAGGAGACATACGTATTATATGACATAAAGGAGACATACGTATTATATGACAAAAATGAGACATACGTATTAAATGAGATATAGGAGACATACGTATTATATGAGATATAGGATTTAATATGTTATAAGGAGGAGAACATCAAATATGGCATAGAAAAGAAATATGTAGGATATGACACACAGAAGATACACGTAGGATATGTCACATTGAAAAAAATACGTAGTTTATGACATAAGAAAAAAGCACATCAGATATGACTTATAGAAGAATTGTGTTGCAGATGACGTATAGAGGAAACACATAACATATCACTCAATAAAGAAATACGTGGAGTATGACAGATAGGAGACGTATATAAGATATGACATATAGAAGAAATAATTAGGGTAAGAAATATTTAGGATATGACAGATAAAAGAAATATGTAGGAAATTACTATGGAAGAAATATGTATGAAATGACATAAATGAGAAATACGGCGGATATGACATATAGAATACTCAGGCTAGGATATAAATAATAAATACACAAGATGTGTTTTACATATGTGTGTGTGTGTGTGCGCGCGCGCGCATGGATATGAAATACGAAGGCTGTGACCCACTGGAGAAATACACATATAGGAGGTATTCTATAAATGCAGTGACCCGGGGATTGGGGGGTAGAAGGAGAGGGTGGGGGGATTGATTGACAGTAAACTCACCAGCACATCACAGCGAGCGATAAACGCCCGGCGACACGTAGTGCCACAACTAGATGAGGATCACCAGGGACAGGTACCAGCAACCCCGTTCAACCCGCAACGGTTATATTAGGGCCCCCGGCAACAGTCGGAGTGAAGATTTAAAATAATCAAAAATTACTTCCCATATCGGGACGGTTTATTGTGACTAGGACCGGGGAAGGGGGCAAAGAAGGTCTGCTAGCCAACTGTCTTTCTGTCTGTCTCTGGCTATGTCTAATAATTTTTATCGATTTGCATATCCGCTAGACTGTATAGTTATATAACAGCCTAATAATGTATTAAATATATTTGTTTTGTTTGTTTACCTGGAATAATGCACCGTCTGGAAGGTCACCGGAACTCGGGACAAAGTGTTAAAGAACTCTGGAGTTTCCTCCCTCAGTTTGTGGGCTATCTCGTGTATGTCCGCGAACGTGTTGTCCCCTCCGACGATGTCTGGGTCAAACCTGGTGTTCAGAAAAGTCACGTGTTGTCTCAATAAATATCCACAAAGTTTATAAATTAATGAGAATACTGAGATATTGTACTGAAACGTATAAGTGTAGGAATCAGTAAAACTCAATACTTGTATCCAGAAGATGGTAACATTCTTATGAATGCATCGGTTCGACTCAGCACAGTTTCCTATGCGGGTTCCAGAGCCCAGTTTTGATAGGAAAAGACTGTAGACCCAGGGCTCTCTAATAAGTATGCCGTAAAAGGCGACCAGTTAGCTATTCACTGAAGTAGGATGTGTTGGGCTGAAAGAGGCAGATAGGGCAACATTGTTGCAAACCATAACACAACGTGCCAGTCACCCTTTTAAGAATGAAAACAGAAGTCGAAGAATTATTGTTAAAATACACTAATAAAGTTATAATATGCTTCATAAATAATACAGTTCATAAACTTAAAGCAAAACATTTTCTGCACAGTTTGTGAAAAGCAAACATACATCAATGAGCATATTCTAGTACAGGAGATTATTACAGTGCAGGAAAGACGCTATATAGTAAAGAATTCAAGACATGACCTTACTATACATACTTGAGGAAATCAGCTATGCACTACAGAATAAAAGACATGAACCTACTCCACGAAGTAAGGAAATGAGACAAACACTACTCTACACATACACACAGTGGCTGGCTGGATAGACGGAAAGGCAGACCGACAGATTTTTTATATATATATATAAACAATAATAGACATGAACCTACTGAACACAGTGCATGTAAACAGATACACTGCACAAGGAAAGACTTGAATCTACTGAACACAGTGCATGTAAACAGATACACTACACAATGAAAGACCTGAATCTACTCGACACAGTGCATGTAAACAGATACACTACACAATAAAAGACTTGAACCTACTGAAAACAGTGCATGTAAACAGATACACTACACAATAAAACACTTCAACCTACTGAAAACAGTGCATGTAAACAGATACACTACACAATGAAAGATCCGAATCTACTCAACACAGTGCATGTAAACAGATACACTGCACAAGGAAAGACTTGAATCTACTGAACACAGTGCAGGTAAACAGATACACTAAATAATGAAAGACCTGAACCTACTCGACACAGTGCAGGTAAACAGATACATTAAACAATGAAAGACCTGAACCTACTCGACACAGTGCAGGTAAACAGATACACTAAACAATGAAAGACCTGAACCTACTCGACACAGTGCAGGTAAACAGATACACTAAACAATGAAAGACCTGAACCTACTCGACACAGTGTAGAAACTGAAGCCCAGGTGGAGATTCGTAGTGCACCTGGTCCATGTGGAGGTCCAGCTTGACTGGGGAGTATGCGGCGTTGACCGGTCTAGGTGTGGACACCACATCGAACGTCTGCAACACGATGTCGTAGAAATATGAACGTTTGGTGGTGATGGTTGTGGTGATGATGGTTGTGGTGGTGATGGCGGTGCTGGTTGTAATGGTGGTAGTGGTAGTATCTGTAGCAGCAATAAGAGTAGTATAGTACATAGTAGCTTCAGAAAGTTGTACAGCGTAGAAAAAAGTAGTTGCAATTTTTCCTACAACGTTTCCTTCACGGCAGTTCCATTCGGCAACTACACATTTTTGCATACAGTTGTTGTAAACATTCCTGGAAGCAGTTGTTGACACCTCTTCCAGTCGCTTGGTCGCATTGGCGATAGCTTCTCCAGCATCATTCAGTGCCGATTTTAGGCGGGAGATCAAAAAGAAAAAAATCAGCTGCTGCCAGGTCGGGAGAATACGGAGGATATTCCAGGGCAGTGACATTATGCCTTGCGAGGTACTACTTCCCCAGTAGAGACCGATGTGATGGGGCATTTTATGCAGCAGATACCAGCTATTTGTTCTTCCTATTTCAGGATTTTTCCTCCCGACTTCATCTCTTACACGACAAAGAATATCAACGAACGTTTCCTTGTTAACTGTTCGGCGTTCGGAAATGAAATCTCGGTAGACAATAAATGTGAAGGTAACAAGACAAGACAAGATAGCTTATAACCAGCTTAAATGATCTGCACAAGTTTCTGTGTGGATTTTGACTGTACTTTGTCAGGTCAAATTCTTATAAGTTGCTGTCGTCTATCCAGTTTTATCTTTCACATCCTTGGTTCTTTTGCAGTCAGTTTATTCCCACTTCCAGGCTACTAGTCTGATTGACTTTCTACCCCACCAGGACATCACACAAGCGATAAACACCCGATGACACAATGTGCCACCATGTGGATGAGAATCACCGTGGAGAGGTCCCAGAAACCGCATTCAGCCAGCTGGCCATATTTATGCCCGGGCTATATTGCGGCCCCTGGCAAGAGCCAGAGTAGGGCTTCAATAAAACGACAAATGTTATCCTAAAAAGGACAAGTGATACAGACTACTGGTGTTATCGAAAAATCAAAAGCGTAAAAAAGTCAGAGATCAGAATTGTGGAGATAGAAATGATGGCCAAGCCTGTTAGACATACACTTGATAATGATGATGGCAACTATATTATACTGTAGTAGGATTACCTCGCCATAGATGGTGTGCTGTATAGGTGCTATCAGCTGTGCCACCTGAAAAGACAACAATTGTGACAGATTTAGTATAAACACATAATCCTTAAAGTAGCCGCTGTGGTGTAGCGGTTAGACGCTCCTCTGCGGATGGTGAGATCGTGGGTTTCGAGTCTCGACGTAGAGGCACTATTTTCAAAAACGATCTTGGCTCTGAGATCAACCCAGCTTCGAGTGCGTGCCAGGTTCAGTCCTGGGAAGTAAAGGTGGTCGGCATGATGCTTACCACTTAGCACATCAAGTTCCGATTGGTCCGTAAATATAGGTCTAGCCCTATATGTCCAACACGCCTGGAGACGTAGAAAGTTCTTTACGTTTACAGAAAATACGGAGAGCCCATGTATGTTATCATACCGTTTCAGGTGAATAACTCTCATTGAAGCAATGACGTATTTCTGTATCACTCAACTCTTAATTTTTGTTTCTTATTCACTTTCAAATTTGTTTAGGGGTTATGCAACTGATCAACGTCATGACACACGGGTGGGTAGTAACTCAAAAGGATCCTGAAATACTTTGGGTAGATTTTTAACTCTAAATTTTGCTCGGACAACGCCGTTTTTTGGGGGGGGGGGGGGGGGGGGGGGGATTTTTTAAGCATGAGACATATAAGTTCAATGTACTAACATTTTAGTGGCCGGACGGCTGTTGCTGGGCTCAGCAGAGGGAAAGAAGAAAAGGCAGACCTGGTTACAGAACTTGACTGACTGTACAGAGTGTAGTCGTACAACTTTGAGGTCCATCGCATTTGACCGTCAAAGGTGGAGAAAGCTGATCAGAAAGTCAACAACAATTGGTGATCAAACGACAGGCAGTGTAACGAAATGATGATGATAATGATGATTTGCACAGAACCGTAGAAGGGAAATAATCTCCAGAGAGCTTTACACTTGAAGAATCTAAAGAGGGTCCATATCTGAAATCTTTAGGGTAACAGCGGCGTCAGACATATCAGCTGCGTTTATCCTCAACCAATAGAGGTCAGACAACAAAGCGGGCCATAACCACATCAGACAGATAAGAATGATAGCCTAGCCGTACCTGCTGGACCATTCCTGTCTGTTTGGGAACGTTGGTCACCAGGCAAATACCGCGCTCACTCAGATGAGACAGCCACCTAATAAGAATACAGACAATTAAATTTGTTATAAAGGATTCGTTAACATAATAAAGAAACACACCTCAGTTACTAGTGTAGCATATGTAGGTAAAGTAAAAGGACTCTAAACCACCCTATTGGGCATTTAGGGCAAGACCTAAATTTTATAGACCAAAAGGTAATCGGTGGATGATGTGGTCAGCATCACACCTTTACCTCCTAGGACTTTTCCTGGTAACCATTCCGGCTTGGCTGACTGGGAACCAAGGGAAGTTTAAAAATAAAATCCAGCTGCGTTGGGATTGGAACCCCGGATCTTTATATTCGTAAGCAAGCTCTAGCCGCTACACCACAGCGTCTCCCATGGATTGTCTGCACTAAAAGTTTATTTTATAACGCTCAGTTAAGTTGTGGACAGACAAACTAACGGAAGAACTATGAGGAAGACAGTGGTGGACAGACAAACTAACGGAAGAACTATGAGGTAGACAGTGGTGAACAGACAAACTAACGGAAGAACTATGAGGAAGACAGTGGTGAACAGACAAACTAACGGAAGAACTATGAGGAAGACAGTGGTGAACAGACAAACTAACGGAAGAACTATGAGGAAGACAGTGGTGAACAGACAAACTAACGGAAGAACAATGAGGAAGACGAAGATTTCAAACTGGTAAACAATTTCGGCGTATCACAGATGAGGAAAAGACACTGACGCTAGATAGTACACACATTGATGAAAATCTGGTTATAATGTGATTAGAATGTCCTTGCATTGGAACTCACAGGGTTGAAGAAGTAAAGGGAGAAGTAACAATTATAGAAGAAGAAATCAGAAATAGAGATTTATAACACAGAAAGGACATGGAGGATGCTGCAGAAGAAAACAATATAGGGCAGCTTGGCCTGAGCTGATTTAGAGACCTTGCTCCATTTGCTGGCCAAATAGAAATGGGATTTCTATCGGAGATACGTCAGATAAGTGATTTTCTGTGTTCCTGTTTGTTCTCGTGGTATTAGAGTTTTATGTGTGTGCCGACGAGGATTTTTTTCACGACACTTGATTTTTCGGTCCCTATGAAATCGTGGTAATAAAATTAGTACCGGTTAGTTTTCAGAATGTCATGAGAATTTTCTTAACGAGAAAACTGACATAAAGAATAATAGCCATCTTATCTGAAAAAGGCCAAACTCTTCACGCTCAAAAAGCACAGTATCTGTTACTGACTCTCATTATATATGCTTTACTGGAACCTCTGGTATTCACATCTTTCCTCCTACTTTATGTAAGCAATAAAGAATGTTGGCAGTGTATATGTATGTATGTAAGTTGTACCCCACCAGGAAATCACACAAAGCGATAAACACCAGGTGACACAAAGTGCCACCATGCGGATGAGGGTCACCCGTCGATAGGTCTCATAAACCCCATTCAGCCGTTAGGTCATATTTATGGCAGGGCTAAATTTAGAGCCCCTGGCAAAGGCCAGGGTGGGGCTTTGAATAACGAAAGATTGCATCCCACATGGGGACGACTTAAGTAAGGCAGTGAATAACATTTGTTAACTTTAAGTAACAGGTTACCTGTACAGTCCCCGTTCTGATGCAATAATGTCATCATAGCTGACATCCGGGATAGTTTTCTGCAATAGAGAACAATATCTTTGGCTGATAGGTCAGGTCACAGCTGATAGGTCAGGTCACAGCTGATAGGTCAGGTCACAGCTGATAGGTCAGGTCACAGCTGATAGGTCAGGTCACAAATGATAGGTCAGGTCACAGCTGATAGGTCAGGTCACAGCTGATAGGTCAGGTCACAGCTGATAGGTCAGGTCACAGCTGATAGGTCAGGTCACAGGAAGCAAGCAAGGAAGAAGAAGAAGAAGAAGAAGAAGAAGAAGAAGAAGAAGAAGAAGAAGAAGAAGAAGAAGAAGAAGAAGAAGAAGAAGAAGAAGAAGTAGAAGTAGAAGAAGAAGAAGAAGAAGAAGAAGAAGAAGATGAAGAAGAAGAAGAAGAAGAAGAAGAAGAAGAAGAAGAAGAAGAAGAAGAAGAAGAGAAGAAGAAGAAGAAGAAGAAGAAGAAGAAGAAGAAGAAGAAGAAGAAGAAGAAGAAGAAGAAGAAGAAGAAGAAGAAGAAGAAGAAGAAGAAGAAGAAGAAGAAGAAGAAGTAGATTCCTAATATGTATACAATAGGTCACACCATTTATCGAAGTCAAAGCAGATAGAGTAGAGCAACACAATTATTCAGGAGCAGCAGTGGCCTCAACTCTCGTCTTTGCTTCGAATCCGCATGCAACCGGATGTTTGTTCCTTCAACAATATTCTAGACTTGGAGGTCGACCCAGCAACAGATGGGTACCAGGTCAAGTAAAGCAAAAGTAAAGGACCCTCTTTCACGCCTTCAGGAGTATTGGGCACTAGGGCCAGACCTATATTTTATAGAACAGTCGGGAATTTTCAGGACCTTTTCCTGGTACCCACCCAAGGCTGAGTCGCCATGGAAGCCTAGGCAATTTAAAAAAAAAAAAATCACATTTCTGTCAAGACCTGAAATCACGACCTTCCGAGGTGTGTGTCTAGCCACTACACCATGGCGGCACTCACCAGCTAAAGTATTAGAAAGCAAAAGCGACCGGCGGGATACTGGCCGTATGCCACATCGACGGCTGATTGGTCTATCAAAAACAAAGTCTATCAAACCATCAAGTAATAATTTGTTGTCGTTTCGCCAAAAGCAGCTAACTCTGATTTCGGCGATTTTCATTTTCGGGGCCGTCCTTTGTCCCTTCACGCGAACTGCTACTCCAACAGAGGACAAAATATTGTCTGACTTTTCTCGCAATTGCCCTATTTTTAGAGAGATGTGAGTGTTTAATGACGTTTTTTCTCGTAACAAGCATTTATCTTTGAGGTGAATTGGGCGCGCGTCAACACGTGTTCTCTTATATTTAACATTTGACCAGCGCATACTAAGTCTGAAACACACACACACACACACACACACACACACACACACGCGCGCGCACACACACACACACACGCACACACACACGCACACACGCACACACAAACACAAGTCAAACATGTAAAACAGATGCGTACGCAACACTCAAGTTCTCGAACAAGACCAAAATCCAGGAATGGACGAACAAACAGAACCTCTCGCTGAACTCTACAGCCCTGAGACGAAGGAGAATACAGACAGGAAAATATTTACGTCAGTGAGTTTGCTTTGGCAGGATAAATGCAATCAGAACTCACATCGTCATAAAATGTCACGGCGATTCTGGATCGTCGATCCTTGTCCGCCTGCTCGGAGTAGCAGTTGTCTCTCAGCCAGGCCAGCAGGAGAGGCCCTTCGTGAACCGTGCCGCCATCTTGCCATCTGACAGTTAGCACCTCCTCACCTGAAAACATTATCATCCTAGTTTCTAATAGTCGAAGAGCAATCTTCGTCTCGGTTGTCTAAGTTAACAGGAAATCGTTTTCACAGAACGATTGCCGGGGATTTTAAACATTAATTACGAAAGAAATGTTTAACGCATGTACACGTATGGTTGCGTCTGTGGCTTAGGCGCTGCGAAAGCGCTTCGTAATGCCAGGGTGCCTGGTTCGATCCCAGCTGCGGGCCTTGTGTCTTCCATCCACCCATCTATTTATGTGAAACAAAACAAACAAATCGACCACGTTCAACCGAGTGCCCTTGTGTCTTGCGCTGGTTTCGACAGTAGTAACGAGGAGCCGGCCGTCCAGAAAGCACTGGCAAACTACTGGACGAAAACCTGCTTAGAAAGACCACAACAGCAAATGAATGCTGGGGTTGGTTCTGCAACGTCCTGTAAAGGATACTCAACTAACACGTATGGCATCTTAAGTTAATCAGTCAAATATCTACCTTCAAAGATCAACAGTACATTTTGATCCTTCAAGGTCAAGAGTAGAATACTGGCCTTCCGATGAAACAAATACAAAAATTGACTTTTCGATGTTAGCTACTTGACGTTTAACTTCCAAATTCAGAAGTCAAATATTATTACTCTTCTAAAGTCAACAGTTAAATATTAATATCCTCCTAAAGTCAACAGTCGAATATTAATTATCTAAAGCTATGAAAGAAAGGAGTGGCTGGCCGAAATCTTAAGAACATTCAGGAGACCCAATTCGAATCTTCTACAAGCTGATGAATCATTCTATTCCGTCATGGCAACATGCTTGTCGCCTCTAAGCTTTTAAGCTTCAGAAGTAAATGACCCTTTTCCGTGCCTCCAGGCGTAGTGGGTAAATAGTGGTTTGACCTATATTTTATAGAACCACACGGCATTTGGTGGGTGATTTAATCAGGATGCACGCCGGCCGCCTTTACTTCCCAGGACTGTACCTGGCACCCCTTCAAAATGGGTGAACCTGGGAGCCAAGGTCATGTTTGAAAATAAACCGGCCCCCTTCAGGACCCGCCCCCCCCCCCCTCGACCTTACGATCCACAGGCCATCATGTAGCCGTTAGACAATGGCGGCTTCCTTATCACCGCTGATGAGGACCCTGAAACCGAATAAACAATTCAGGAGTCAATTATCAAACTTCTAATGATCGTGCGGGAGTCACCATTGTCTAGAGGCTAGACGGTCATCTGCAGATCGGAAGGTGGTGGGTTCGGTTCTTGACGGTGGCCGGACTCCCCCCCCCCCCCAAAAAAAAAAAAAAATCAAAAATCACCTTAGCTCTCAGGTCGACCCATCCTTAAGTGGGTACCAGGTGCAGTCCCGGGAAGTAACGGCGGCCGGCGCGATGCTGACCATATCACCCACCAAGTGCCGTTTGGTCTTTAAAATATAGGTCTAGTCCTATATACTCAATAGGCCTGAAAGGCTTAGAAACGGTCCTTTACTTTTTAATAAGTTAACTCTTTAAGGGTCAGTGCCAAACAATAACATTCCCAGGGTCCGTGTTAAATACTAACTATCCCAGGGTGAGTGTCAAACGCTAACCTTCCACTGAAGCCCCAGTAATTCTGAGCTGATCCAGATCGAGCGTATCAAAGTTGACAGTAATCATCCCATTGTAATCCAACCGGCATTCTGGACAATGACAGTTGTGACGTAACCAAGAGGCGTGAAACCTGAAAATACATTTTAGTTGAGTGTTATAGAAAGCTCAGTAACATTATTTCAGTAGTACTCGCCATATTGTTGTCAGGGCCAGCAACAGAGCTGTAAATACTAATACTGTAAACTGCCATGCATGTCGTAAGAGGCGATGAAAAGAAAAACAAAACATTTGAAGAGATTTTTTTTCTTCTCCGCCTCTTCTTCTTCTGCTGCTGCTTCCTCTTCCTTTTTTTTTCTTTATCATCATCATAATCATCATCATCTTCTTCTTCTTCTTCTTCTTCTTCTTCTTCTTCTTCCTCTTCTTCTTCCTCTTCTTCTTCTTCTTCTTCTTCTTCTTCTTCTTCTTCTTCTTCTTCTTCTTCTTCTTCTTCTTCTTTCTCTTCTTCTTTTTTATCATCATAGTCATCTTTTTCTTCTTCTTCTTCTTTTTCTTCTTCTTGTCCTCCTCCTCTTGCTTCTCCTCCTGCTCCTTAAGCTTAATCTCCAAAAACATTCAACCAGCTCAAGCACGTCTGTTGAAGACACGTTAATGACCGGATAAATGTAGGATTGTGCAGCTAAGGGTATTTACGGGATGAGGCAGCGAGTCTCACATAAGTCCTCATTAATCAGCTCTTACAGCACCATTGTAATGGCTCCAGGGCTCTGTTTGAGGCAAGGGAAACGAATTAGGCCCACTGCCTCTGTAAAGGCGTCTCATAAATTGTAGGTGTTTTCTTCGAAGAAGTGCATCTGCCGCACAGGCGGCAACCAGCAAGGAAAGCAACTGACAGAATGTCAAGCAAGGCAACGGTGCAGGGAAGACTAGCAATGCCCCTGTGTGGTTTCCGGGGCCCCATTGTAGAGAAAACTAGAACAGACCTGTAGTGAACCATTTTCTTCTTGATAAATTATGTCCCAGAGGGACTGACATCAGCTGATAAATATGAATGGAATATTTGAGTGTAACAAGGATAGCGACGTGAGTCACGGACAAAATGCCGGCCAAACGAAACCCGTGTGAATCACGGAGGAAATGTTGGTCAAATGAAACCCATGTGAATCGGAAAACACGGAAAAGTCGTAATTGTAATGTGGGGGTTGGAAGGTTTTATAATGCCTTAGAAAGAGCATGTGTGGAGTCTGGTTTAGGCCTAGGAAATGATTACCTGAAGTACGGAGGAGTGTCTGTTGGATCCAGAAAGTGTTTGAGTCTTTTATGTCTGCAGAGTTTTTTACCAACGCCTACTTGGCCAAACAACAACGACTGACGGAAACACCGCAGCCATCTGATTGTGTGCGTGTTTTGTTCGGATGGAAAAAAGTCGTTATCTTTCAATTGCTGTGGTGATGGAAACGTTTCATGTCAAGGTAAAGTTGATATTTTCGGTGAGTTAGGATAGATATAAGTGACTGTGTTGTATCCTAACAGGTACTGGCTGAAGAAACAGCTAGTAAACAAATAAAGAGTAACACCACATTGTATCGTTCACCGTCGTCCATGTTTACTCGTGTTTGACTGTCGGCGCATGAATGGAAGTCTGCAGTGACTGGAGCCAAAGATATTAAGAACAGAGTCATTGCAAGACCCATTCCCTACCCAAAAGCATGTCGTAAGAGTCGACTAATTGGGAGTTTCCTTCAAAGTCGGAGTGCGTTTGCATGAGAGGCAAGGAACCAAAAGTCTTCATACAGATGAGTAAGATTTTAAAAACAGATGTGCACGCAACAACTCAGGTGCTGAAAGAGGACTGGAGTCTAGAAATGGACGAACAACCAAAACTTTCTACCGGAGTTTACAGCCCGTAAACGCGCAGAAGAAGAAGGAGAGACAAGCAATGAACACATAAGACGTTTATGGGAGACAAGAGGTGTCTGTGAATCTGCAGCCAAGACCACGGTTACAAGAATAGCAGGTTGAACAGGATGTGGCCATACAATATAAACACGCAGTAAGCCAAAGAAGAATAAAAATTAACACAAACCATGAGTCGCCAGTTGTTAAAAACTGTAGGATTTACCGAGAAGGGAATCTGAGTACTTGTAGACTGAATGGTTTGATTTGCAATGAGGATGAAATGTCGACAAACTGATTAACAAGAGAATATAGTTACCGTGAGGCGTAATGCTGACCATATTACCCACCGAGTGCTGATGGTCTGTAAAAATATGTGTGCTCTTTCCATATGCCCGATACGCCTAAAGGCGTGGAAAGGGATCTTTACTTTACTTTTTTAAATACTTACTGTGAAACATGGTCGTCCTCCCAGAGTATTCTCAGTAGCGTCCCATCATTTGTGACTGTGAGTTCTTTAATACTGTAAGTCTTCAAATGTTTCATCTACATAGAAATATGACAACATGTTATTGTAACTGATAATTGTACAAAGATTATTAAAATAGAAAATGCAACATCTAAATAATACAGTCATCTTATTCAAAGCCATCACCCGTCACATCATGCGGTCACTTTAATTTCTGATTAGCTTTTCTCCTTCAAGTTTGACTCTAGGAAATATTAACACCCAATGACTCAAAGAGCCATTATTCGTATGCAAATCAAAGAGGAGAAATAATGGGAATCCCGTTCAACTGTATACAAGTTATATTGGTGCAACTATGGGTTTTAAAATAACCCGCAGTCTAGTCTGTTAAGGTTGTAAAATTCTTGTGAGATATGAAATAAATAAAGCGTAGACAACAAGAAGAGAGAACAGGTCACCAATGAAAAACTAAGAAAAATGCTAAATACAGCACAGGTAAATGATTTCATAGAACAAAATCAGCCAGCAGCTACAGCATATCATACGAGAATATCAAGCTACAACATAAGAGGCCGACCAGGCAAGAGGTGGGTGGGGGTAGTACAAGAGAACTACATAAACGCTGTCTGACATTAACACAAGTTAGACAAATAGCAAAAGACAGGAAACTACACTACACGCTTTACGGCATCAAGAGTAGAAGAAAAAAAAAAAAAAAGTATAATTCCTGTCTGACAAGATTTGAGTTGTTTGCGATAATTATATCCTTTAGCCAGATCATATGAGTTTTCATCGTCTAGTTTACCTTTGCTTATTATCTGCCAAATTTGTCATGTGATACTACATACCTAAGTTTACTTCTTCACTAACTAAAACCTCCCAAATCTCCAATGTATTTATACTATTTTCATAAATATGTTATTGAGTTGGCCTTCCGGCTCGCTAGCTCACTTGGTTAAAACCCTTTGCGCGGCGACAGAGTGACGAACGGGGTAGGCAGAAAAGCCATATTTCTCCCAGATTTACGGTATGTATCATGCAATCAAGGCCGAAGAGTTGAGTATCCATAGTACCGAGCCAAAGGGTTAACAACTTATGGTTTCTGGATACTAAAAAAAACAGTGAGTTGGATGTATGTACAAGTATAGAGGGTGAATACTGTAATGTTATACTGTACCAGGTGGAGATGGCTTGGACATGTTTGAAAAATATTTCGCAAGGTGGGAGAGAGGGTTAGATAAGGGAAGAGAGAATGAGAAACAGAGATATAGAAACAGAGAGGGGGAATAGGGAAGAGAGAGAGAGAGAGAGAGAGAGAGAGAGAGAGAGAGAGAGAGAGAGAGGGGGAGGGGGGGGGGAGAGAAAGATTGAGAAGTGACTGCTCACTTACGACATCATTGTTGTATAGCCCCCGAGCTTTGATTGAGTCCAGGTGAGGGGTGGCTCTTGATGGCCATGCTGGAACGATATAATGAATAGAAAATAAAGAAGCAGAATGTCGTCAAGCTGAAAGGTGGAAACAGGTATACTAGAAAAAATTTAGAAATAATGATAGAGAACATAAACAGGTAGAGTATTACAGAAAGAGGAAAAGAGGAGTATATGAGGGGAAGATGATGAAGAAGAACACGGTAATAATGATGGTAATACGAGGAGGAGAAGAATAGCAAAAATTGGTAAAGTGATGCAGTGTGAGGACAAAACAATGGAGATACATGAATGAGAAGAGGAGAGGATGTAGTACTATGAGAAAAGAAGATAATATAAATAAATGAATGAATGAATGAATTAATTAATCAGTCAATCAATCAAGAATTGACATCACTGTACTGCGCATATATCTACTCATGCCCATCCTCTTCTTCTTTAGCCCAGGAAGAGTCCACATGCTAAAAGTACTAACAGCAACCTGATTAAAAGTCCGCTTATGTTTCCCTCTTGTGTTGAGTATCTTTCATAACCTTAACCCCCCCCCCCCCCCCCCCCCCCCCCACCAACACCCCCGTTAATTCGTCTTTTAATCTATGCATTCTCTGTCTTTCTATTGTCCTGTCCATTTGATCCCACATTACCTTCACTGATTGACGAAAACACTGATGAAGGTGATGTTGTACTGTAGTTTACACAGATGGGTCAGTAATTAGGGGCAAGCGAAGTGCATGGGCCTTCACAGTAAGCTCAAGAGGCAAAACCATCAAGGAGATGAATGGCGCCTTTGCTGTTACAACTAGTAGCCTTACAATGTAAACTATGGCTGTAACAAGGGCGTTAGCATGGCTTGGTACTCAGAAGTTCACATACGTATGCTTTCTTAGTGACTCGATGAATATGCTTAAAAAGTACAAGCTGGATTTATCAGGCAAGAATGGATTGAAACACTAAGCACTTCACGAATATCCGCCCTAACCTTCATCCTTGTGCCAGGTCATGCAGGTGTTCAAGGGAACGAGCGTGCAGACTATCTTGCTGACACTGCAGTTGATATGGCTGGCCCAGTACTGGACAGAAGTGATGTTATCAATGCCATGCGCTGCACTCACCGTACCGAGGAGCACGCCACAGGACATGACTCCATATCTCTGTCTAGACTAATGGACATGGGGGGGGGGGGGGGGGGGGGGGAGGGGGCAGCCTGGAGCTGCAAGAAATGAACATTTCACTAAGGGAACAAGACGTTTCATTAACCAACATAGAACAGGCGTCATCAGTCGTTTTACACTTGTGGAGCTTCTGATGAGGAGATCGGAGCAGCCATGAATCTGTCCAGAGTGCTGTGATGATAATCCTTTCTAATCACTAATCACTAATCACTAATCACTATTGCTTTATCAAAAAAGTTATCTCATAGCAGAGCAGCTGCAGCAGCTAATCTATCAGCGCGCTTCTTACCTCGCACAACAGAATGTCCTGGACATAATAATTTTTTTCTGATCCAGAAACCATGAGTTGTCAACCCTTTGCCTCGGTACTATGGATATCGCAACCCTTCGGCCTTGATTCCATGATAGATACTGTAAATCTGGGAAATATGTGGCTTTTCTGCCCACCCTCAAACGTGAACTCGGACCACAAGGAGTTTTTTCACCCGGTCGCCACGCAACTGGTTCAACTAACTTGGCTAGCGCGCGGGACAGGACAGAATATCAATGATATGCTCATGATCTCAGTCTGATGAAGTAATGCAAGCCACTTTGTGCGCTGGAAGCCAGTTTTTATTTACCAAAGCCTTCTCTGTTAGTCCGTTACAACTGCATGTCGAGCTGTGCTGCTTTCAGCCTTGGAGAGCTGCTGCTACCGCCTGCACCTCCATTCTCATGCTGAATATCGTGACGCTGAGGTTTTAAACAAAGAATCTACATCATGGCACACGGGCAGTAACCCATAAGTGCTCCGTTCCTCTTCTAACTCAAGTCTGAGTTCGAAGAAGCCCAGCACAGTGCACAGGCTCTGTAGCACTGCGAGGATCCTGAAATACTTTGGGTAGATTTTTAACTCGAAATTTTGCCCGGGCAGCGTCGTTAGGCTACTCTGTTTGATTTCCAACTGCCAAGGGATTTTCTTTTTACCTGCGCAACGATGCACACGGGCGATCTCACTACCCAGAGACCCAGGGGAAATACTAGAAGACAAAATCCACGTGAAAAAAATCTCAGCCCTTACCGAGGATTGAACCCGCAACATCTAGCACTTGAGGCGGACACCATGCCTCGAGACCACGCAGCTCCCAGGAATCGTAGAAACAGTGAAAGACAGAACTTCACAGAATTAAACGTAAGAATACTGTCAGCATGTTATTAAATTTTGAATGTTAGCTACAAACAGTGAGAAGTAGATATACTTTAGTGCGTTTAATTACTGCCCTTATCAATTGCAGCATCCAGCTGGATGGGGACGGGAGGGGGAGGGGGGAGGGGGGGGGGGGTTGTTAAAGATAGCCTGCGGCGCAACCAGCGAATTAAGGGTTAGCCGAAAACAAAGGTATTAGGGCGAACATATCGCCGCCTGACTGTACACCGTAACACAACAAGCACATTTAGAAGGACGAAAGGAAAATAATGAGACGCAGACGAGGAATAATAGTGGCAGTAATAATAATAATAATAATAATAATAATAATAATAATAATAATAATAATAATAATAATAGTAATAATAACAACAATAATGTAACACCACCATTCGACGCAATTGTTCGTGCTGCAGTGGCAGATTCTAATTCATTGAGAAAAAAACATAAATAAAAACGGGCAAAGAATCAACTTCAATACCTGAAAAACAAGAAAATAAGAAGACGATGGTAATGGTAATTATATTACAACGAGCTAACAGGCAATCCGACAAAAATCTAACCACGTGTGGAAGTCATCCTTGCGTTCCTACTTGTACATCCTACATAGCAGCTGGCCAGACTGTAACCAGGTGCCAGTTCATTTGGACGTATTTGTTTGCCAGCTTGATTCAAGACAATCTGGCAACGGTGGCCTCGCCAAACCACGGCTCTAAACATCGCAATGACGGTGCTCAGTCTGTGGATTATATTAAAAAACAGTACAGTATGCATGTGCACTGGAAAAAAAGTAAAAGTAAAGAGCACTTTCCACGCCTTTAGGCGTACCGGGTATATGGGAAAAGCATCCCATATTTTCGACATGACGCCGACCGTCTTTACTTCCCCAGGACAGCCTTCCTGGTACCCATTTTAGGCTGGGTCGACCTGCGACGCCCCATACCATGATAAAAATACACGCAGCCAGCAGTGGGTTTTGATCGTGTTAAGTTGGAAATACAAGTCAGACTTGCAATGCATGGAAAGGGACGCGAAAAAAAAAGGGGGAGGGAATGGAGCCGCAGACCAAATGTATCGTATAAGCTAGAAGTCTTGAGATCTATGATCAATACAGTTATACACAAAAAGCAACAGAATATCACAACAGGTTGTATGGACTCTTAAGTAAAGTAAAGGACCCTTTTTTCCCGATTTAAGGCGCATTAGGCATATCGAGCTAGACTTAAATTTTATAGACCAATCGGCACCCGATGGTAGGGATCATACCGGTTATCTTTACCTCCCAGGACTGCCCCTGGTATCCACTTAAGGCTGGGTCGACCTGGGAGCGAAAGTTTTTTTTGACAGAACCCGACCTCACGACCTTCCGATCCGCAGGCGAGTATCTAGCCGCTACACCACGGTAACTTCCTGTATGTACTCTGACCGGGTAGAAAAACACTAGGAAGCCGCATTATCATGCGTTTATGCGCTATTACTGTGTCTTGTTTCCGTGTAGATTTCAGTAACCCGTTTTTTTAGGGAGAGGGGTGATAGACGCAATGTCCGTTGACAAGTTAGTTGCATATCTTTTACAGGACGTTGCAGAACCAACCCCAGCATTTTTTGGGGCTGTTGTAGTTTCTCTAGGCAAGTTTTACGTTCAGTAGATTGCCATTGCCTTGAACGGTCAGCTCTCGGTATCACTGTCGAAACCAAAGCAAGACAAATCGTCCGCAGCTGGGACCGAACCCGGCACCTCGGCATTACGAAGCCCGTTCGCAACGCCCAAGCCACAGACGCCGTTAACAAGCACAAAAGGCTGCTAATGAAAGCAGATATCGCAGCCTAGATGTAGAAGCAAATTCGAAAAGCTGAGGTTTTCATTCTTTCGGTTTAAGGCGTTACTTACTTGAATATGTTCCTTACCACTGAGTGTTGGCTTGAGAGTCTACGAGTCTTAAGTGTGAGCAGAGTGTTGACTTGAGAGTCTACGAGTCTTAAGTGTGAGTATCTTGAGTTAAAGTACTGCAGCTGTAAGACAGAAAGGTTGAAAATGCAATTCTTACTGCGTATATTACCATAACACAGAGGACGGACGGAGTTTAGAAATGCATACTATAAAAAGAGTAATAAAGAGAAACTTAAGAAATGCATTTAAAAAGAGTAATATAGAGGAAGTTAGGAAATGCATACTATAAAAAGATATTATAGACAAAGTTAAAAAATGCATACTATAAAAAGAGAAATTCAGACGAAGTTAAGAAATGCACACTATAAAAAGTGTAATATAGACGAAGTTAAGAAATGCATATTATAAAAAGAGAAATTTGGACAAGGTTAAGAAATGCATACTACAAAAAGAGTAACATAGCCGAAGTTAGGAAATTCATACTATATAAAAAGTAATATAGACAAAGTGAAGAAATGCACACTATATAAAAAGTAATATAGACAAAGTGAAGAAATGCACACTATATAAAAAGTAATATAGACAAAGTGAAGAAATGCACACTATATAAAAAGGAATATAGACAAAGTTAAGAAATGCACACTATATAAAAGTAATATAGACGAAGTTAAGAAATGCACACTTTATTAAAAGTAATATAGAGGAAGTTAAGAAATGCACACTTTATAAAAAGTTGATTAAAATTGATCGCGTGGGCAACTGCTGTTCTGTTGGCGACTTCTGCTACCATCAATGATGAACTGCAATTCTAATACTGTAATAAACATTGTGTGTGTTTTTCGTTGGCACAGGAGCGGAGCAAAGATGGGGTGACCCGTTTGCTATGAAGCTGAAACTAAGACTACAAAACTACCATATAAAAAGTAATATATACGAAGTTAAGAAATGCATACTACAAAAAAAAGTAATATAGCCGAAGTTAAGAAATGCATACTATATAAAAAGTAAAAAAGACGAAGTTAAGAAAAGCACACTATATAAAAAGTAATATAGACGAAGTTAAGAAATGCACACTATATAAAAAGTAATATAGACTAAGTTAACAAATGCTTACTATATAAAGTGTAATAAAAAAGAAACTCCTGGCCAGTTGAACGGAATTTAAAGAGGTATTGGTAAAACAGCATTGGTTCATGAAAAGGTCAACTTACATAAAGCGTTACTTTAGGTCAAATGTTACCTCTGTCACCACGTAGAATGTGCGAACCAGTCTTCACTATTTGTACTTGTACTGAACACCACTCAAGAGTCGGATGCACTATTCTAATATAAATTGAAGAAGTGGGCTGTGGTACACGGACACTTTTGACACACAAAACGATGCCGTTTCCTGACAGATGCCGCTTGCCATGCTGACACCCGTTGGTCATTTTAAAATCATTACCAGAAGAGCGGATCAGTTCTGTGTTCTTGTCCGTTCCTTTATGTGCTGAGTCATTGGGGTATTTGTCTTTTAGTCTCTCTTTTGTTGTTTTGTCTACTAAATTTGCCAGTTGTCAAAATTTTGTTTCTTGAAATCCGTACTTGGAGAGAAAGATGCAACGGGAAGTGTCTGCGGGTTCAAGGCGCCACTCACGGAAAAAAGGCAAAACAAATAGGTCACCAGTTAAAATGAGTAACATTGGTATGGACACTATTTTCTAGCTGCTAAAGAGGGAAACGGAGCTAATATGGGCTTGTCCCGAAAATTGCGATTTTGAGGTTTAAGGTTTGAACAACGGATCAACATCATGGCACACGGGTAATACCAATAAGGGTTCCGTTCTTTTTCTAACAAGTCTGAATCCGAAAAAGCTCAGCACAGTGCACGGCTCTGTAGCACCGGCGAGGATCCTGGAATACTTTAGGTAGATTTTTAACTCCAAATTTTGCCCTTCAGCGCCGTTAGGCTAATTTTCTCGATTTTCAACTGCCAAGGGATTTTTTACGTGCGCCACATTGCACACGGGCGTCCGATCTCACTACCCAAACTCCAAGGAGAATTACTAGAAGTTCACGTCCATGTGAAAAAATCCAAGCTTTTCCCAGGGATTGAACCCAGAACTTCTAGCACCCGAGGCAGTCCCCCAGTAATGTGATGTCGAATCTTTACCCAGATGACCTCAGATAAACATGGTTCTCCCTTGAAGGCAATAACTGTCCCTTTTCCACGCTTTCACGTGCATTGGGTTAGTGTTACACGTTACAACATAACACCTGCTGCCTTTACTCTCCAGAACTCTACATAGTACTCATTTAAGGTTATTTCTTTACAAACAATTCCGGCTGTGTTAGGGCCTAAACCCACGACTTTCGGATCGGCTGGAAGGCAATATAGTAGGAAAGACTGTTCAAATGGATGAACCGGTGCAGGAGTTTTCAAGAAAAGTTGAGATGCTCCTGCAAATCAGTAGCATAGTACAAGAAGATAAACATATCAAACTGGGACATAAAACAGAGGGGAAAAATGTTGTCCCCATTTGGATCTCCGCTATCTCCAGTTATTTGAGATAGGGATTGAAAAAAAAATGTATATCAAACAATCAACAAAGTAAAACAAACATTGGTCAGGCTTAACAAACAGTGGGTGTCAGAGTGACTTAGTCTGTAGATAAAACTAAGATTATACTCTAGCACAATTTTAGGAATACCATTTTATTGCAGTATAACTGGAAAATGTAGTGGTACGGGCATGTAATAAGATAATTTAGATGGAAAGATATAAAACCCAACGAAAAGTAGGTCAGCGAGCTTCACAGTATAACAAATGCAAAAAAAAAAAAAAAATGGGAACACTACGGTTATTAAGCCTTCATTAGCGCAAACATAAATCAAACATAAACTACACGAAAACATAAATCACTTAGGCAGCCACGTCGATGTCTTGCCAGTGGAATCCACACATAAAACACACAGGGAAAAAAACCCGACAGAGGATAACGATTGTATGCATGTCACAAACACTACGCAAAGGGAAAAACCACCAGGACGTCAAGGATAAAATGGCCGTAGTGGGACCTAGACAAATAGGAGTGGACAACTTATCCCGTTAGGGACATCAATACTGAACTTGATAGGTAGACAGACAATCAAATGGTTTTACAATGTAACAAGATTGGCAATAGACATGGTACCACATAGAGCATTACTGTACAGATACAACGGTAACAGATCCAGAGGTCGACCATGCAGATATGGACCGCAGAAATATCAGAGCCACTGAAAAGTACTTTAAACGAAGCGAACAGAAAGGCCCGTTCCGAAGATCTCTTCCTGTCCTGATGCCGCGAAGCCTTCCAGAAGTAGAGAAAAGAAGGAGAAGAGGGAGACAAAGTAGTCAGCCTGGTACACATAACCCAATTCCAGTCAACACACTTAGCACAAATAAACCAGACCATAAACATAACTGAATGCTACCTGCAGCGTCGAGGCTAGTAACAAGTTGAACGTGGTCGACTTTTAATGGCCCTGGACGTAACAAAACCTGGAGAAAGACTGTAGAGTTGGAAATGAAGGTTGTCACATGACACTGTATACCAGCGGCTAAAACTGTTACTGGCACAACCTGCTTTCCTGCCGGGAAAGGACACACTAGACAATATAAAAATCGAATGGTACAGTTATCCTGACAGGAATCGAGCCTGTCATCTCCAAAGGGCGTGTGCGCCTCGCTATGAAAACAAGTGTACTACTATAATGACCAACCAGCCACTTCCCAAAATGGTGTCTCCATTGGCTATGTCTGTCGTATAACTCGAAATCAACAACTATAGAATATGGACAGAAATAA